TATCAAAGTGTTGATTTTTAAGATACAATATCATATGTATAGCATTATATCTGTAATTCGCACTGGAAAATGTCAAATACTGTGACTTTAAAAGAAAAGCAAGGAAAACAGATATTGGACCTGATGAAAGATTCAAAGCTCTCCACCTTCCCATTTATCAAGAGGTCCCGTGGGTCGCTGCTACACTTAAAGTGCAATTAGAATGCTGATTGAGTCTAATTTCCCTCAGTAACTCTGGAATAATCACTGATTTTGAGCAGCTGGCTGAAAGGAAATTCCACCAAGCATTGCCACACCATTATGATAGGCCTGTTCTGCAGTCCAAACACACAGCGGGACACTGCATTCTTTAGTAACACATCTGTGATCTGTGATTGGACGAGTGCCTGTATAACTTCCCCACTTGCTGTGTTCACATTGTTCAGGAGCAGAAGTGCCTAAACCGCTCTGCTATTAATGAATAGGTGCCTGTGGTTTATAAATTGTAGACCTTCATTATGCTCACAGGCATTTGTTGGCTGCTTGTACAAAACAATCAAGAAATGGAGGACATTTCATCAGATTATAAAGAAAATATCTTAAACACAATGTTTTAAAAGCTAGTCTGATATTATTTTCATAAACCATACTGAGGAAATCATTTGCCATTTTGTGCCCAATGTGTTTCTCCATGACCCAACTGTATACTCTAGATGTGTATATAATTCACAGCACAAACCATATTATTTAATAGATTTACCAGTTTAGTGTGTAATACAAAAAGGAGTCAAATGAAACATTTATTGCATGTTTACAACATTGTTAATTTTTCTAACAAGCCCTATTGTCTTTGTCCTTGCACATTCAACCCTGTTCTGCTGGAACATTTTCCCATTTAAATGCAGCTTGAGATTTCTGATATCATATTTAAAAACTTTATCTCTTTTTTTTTTCAGACCTAAATATAGAAAAATATAAAAAGATATTATTAGAAAAAAGATAACATTTTAAAAGTAATCCTTTTATGCATGTGCATAAAGATACAAATCTTCATGAATTGTTCTTTTGTTGTTTTGTTTATCATCAAACGCCAACAATTATGAAATATAAGTGAAACAGTTTATGTTCCAATATGTTGATATTGTATGTTACTCTTTGGGTCGGCAAGATTTTATAATGTTTTTTAATGAAGTTTCTTTTGCTCACCAAGGCTGCAATTAATTGATAAAAATGCAGTAAAAATAATATTGTGAAATACAGTTTAATTGAGCCAATTTCTATTTGAATATATTTTAAGATGTAACTTATTCCTGATGTTAAAGCTGAATGTTCAGCATCATTACTCCAGTCTTCAGTGTCACATGATCCTTCAGAAATCATTCTAATATGCTGATTTGCTGCTCAAGAAACATCTCTTATTATAAATGTTGAAAACAGTTGTGCTGCTTAATATTTTTCTAAAAACATACATAATATTTTTTGTACATTTTTATAATCCCAAAACAAATTTATCTGTGCAAGACACTGGTGTAAAAGCTTCCGAATCAAGCGCTGGTAAACCCACATTACGGTATAGTTTCCTGAGAATATAATTGCAGAAACACATTAGGATGGCACTTGAGATTCAACAAATAAAAACATAAATATTTGTTTCTGCTGTCTCTGTCAGCTCTTCACAAGTTACCTGGACCAACGGAAATCAATAACATTGTCCTTTAACATCATTTCTGCTGAAAGTGAGACTCGTCTGCCTCAAGTAGAGTCGTGCTTCCTAGCAGGGAAATCGATAGCAGAGCACTGCTGGAGTCTCAGTCTGTCCACTTCATTCTCACACTCCCTGCTGACAAAACAACTGATAATGGCCTCAAGAACCTCAATAAAGCCTTTTGAATATATTATTGACAAGTGATTTCAAATAGGAGGCTTCTCCCCATTCCAATTCTTCTGTTTAATGTGTAAATATTACCAAATACTGGCAGGTATTTAAATATATTTGCAATTACACATTTGTAATGATGATGTTACAATTTAGCACATTTAAAATATATTAACTTTAAAGTTAATATCAAATAACTCAACACAGTTGAAATTATAATTAAGTACTTTACATGTGATTTAGCATGTTAGTTGGCACAACAAAATAAGTTATCTGGTATTATTAAAAAGTATACTTCATAGTCTTGACAGTATATTCTCTTTAAGTACTATTAAGATGCCATTTATTTAAATATATATATAAACTTTGAAGTATACTACAAGTGCACATTCGATACAATTAAGCGCCCTTCTTTTTCACAAGAGGTTGTACTGTTCGCGATACAACATAAATAAAAAAATCAAGCAGGAGGTGAGATGAGGGGGTGTTTGGAAGAGACATACACAAGGAGGCGTATAAATGTACAAACTAGGTCACTAGAGATGCTTGCCATTTAACAGACACATTTGCTTCAGTAACAGAAAGCCATTTGCGGAGGCCGTCCCGCAGGAGCAACCTCATGGTGAGGAGTCTCTCACTGATAAAGCAGGGTTGAGTCACCCCTTCTTGGGATTTGAACTGTGCTTTCTGTGTTGGCAAACCAGACCCTTAAACAAACCACACATTTGCCAGCAGAGCTCTTTGCAAAGCTGCTGACCTATATAGAGAGGATGGTACTGGTGTGAAAAAGATGGGCGCTTCCTGTTCTCTGTCTGATATCAAAAAGATGCAGCAACATAGACACATATTCAATGAATCTAAATCCATTAATACCTTAACATTATTGATAATTGTTATCAAGTAAGTACACATTTTTTACCTTCAATGTTTAATTGCCATTAAAATAAGTATTCACTCAGAAATTACAATTCTGTCATTATTTATCTTCTTTCTTGCTTCTGTGGAACACAAAAGGATACAAGATTGTATTGGTCACGTTTGACTGTATAATAATAAAATGGTGGCTTTTTTACATAAAGCAGGCCCAAAATGTGCATTTCAGAGGTTTACATGAAATATTAACAAGCCCGCGAGATTATAGAGGGCTCTCATCCGTGAAGCGCTTTCAAGACAAATATGGAATGACCTATAAATATGAAACAAGGGTGTGATCGAAATTTTTTAACAGCTCTCAATGAATCACAAAAATCTAGATAGAATGAGATGTAGATCTGTATCAGATCTAAAAGTATAATCAGATGAATGCCACAACTTTACTGTATTGGGAAAATATTACTAATCTATTGAGATATCTGTTCTATCAAGCTGATTGTCCCTTTAAATGTCAAAATCATTAAAAGTCAGTTTGAGGTGACAACAAGCTGTCAATCAATCTAGGCTCCTTTAATAAATGGTTTGTGTATATAACTGTTGGAGAGTGACTAAAATGAACCTTTGTATTATATGAAAATAGATATTGCATATGGGTCAATAATATGACACTTTGTCTGTATCTTCTGAGCTATTCAAAAATGCATAAAAATGAGTCCTGCGAACGATTAATCGCGATTAATCGCATCCAAAATAAACGTTTTTGTTCACATAATATATGTATGTGTACTGTGTATATTTATTATGTATATATAAATACAAACACATAAAGTATATATTTTGAAAATATTTACAGGTATACATTTATATTCATATAATTTATATTATATAATTATATTTAATATATAAACATAACATATTTTTCTGAAATATATACATGCATGTGTGTGTATTTATATTTACATAATAAATATACACAGTACACACATATATTATCTGAACAAAAACTTTTACTTTGGATGCGATTAATCGCGATTAATCGTTTGACAGCACTAATTAAAATACAGTTATAAAAATGCTTAAATACATCTGTTCAGTGATAAAAAAAAGTTTTCAGTTTCTAGTTCAAATAATGATATGTTTTTAAATTATTAGCAATGTTATTATTTTATTATATTGTTTGTTGGTATCATTCATGTATTTATAATAACAAATGAATCATATATGAACCGTCATTTACTAATATTAATTTTGTCTGCCAAATCAAAGTCAGTGTGGTGCAACTAACATGACGGAAGCCATTTTATAACATGACAATAAAACCATAAAACAGATCCCTTTAGACCAATCACTGCATGTCAAGGTCATTAGGTTTGCTAAAAAAATATATGATATATTTTGACCTTTTAATGAAAGTCAAATGAAGTAACCCCAAGAAAACTTAAAGGGGTCATATGATGCTTTTGTAAAGATCATTATTTTGGAAGGCCAAATAAAGTGCTTTTGCTCTCGCACAGAAACACAGCGTCTCCCTGACATGCTGCATCAACACGACTGCTGTTCCTGAAACCACGCCTTCTTTCTTTGCGTGCACATTTGGGCGGCATTATGCTAATATTTCCACATCGTGACGTAGATATGTGGGGGCGTGTTAGAACGAGCCATTTTAGGTAGGTGTGGCTGACTCTTAACTTTTATAAAGAATATCTCTTTGGATTTGAGACTTTAGTCTTTGTAACTTTACAGATCTTCTTTATGCACCAAGAGCTTGTAACACTTCAAAGAGAAAGGAAAACTTGAAATCGCATCATATGGCCGACCCCTTTAATATACATTGTTATTATTATTAGATATTCATGACTCAAAATGTATGATAGTTGTAAAACAAAATGCCTTGAAAAGCACATTTGAAAATGTGTCTATTCATGTGAACAAGGTAAGTAGTATTTGAAGGTTACACCACTTGACATTTTTAGTCATTCAGTAAAACTTATTTTAAGTAATAATTGTTTTTCAAAATGTCTCAAACCAGTGTGGATACAAATATTATATTTCTAAGACCTGGCATGTGCGTTTTAAACTAGATTTTAAAAATATTTCCCTTTTTCGTCATTTCATAGAGCCTTACTTGTCATTGACCCATATAGCAACATCTCATTGTTATGAACACGGTGTTTGTTTATATGGACCCAGTCAACCATCACGCTTTTATCTTGTTTTATTGTTTTAAGATAGCTGCCTATAAAATCCTACAATATTTCAGGAAGGATCTTACCGTTGCACCACTGGAAAGGGTGCATCAATCCACCCGTGTGGTTCCTTTCTATGAAGGGATGTGTGTTTATAAACAGAGAGACGATGCCCTCTGTCTGTCTGTCGCTCTGTCAGGCCATGCAGCACATCTGGATTCATCTAAACGCAGTCCTCACTCGTCTTCATAGCGATCTCAGTCGTCTCATCTGGTCAGGTAGTAAATACGTTCACATTCACGACATTTGACTCATATTCAGCTTGCGTTTACGTCCGGTGAACAAAACACGTCCTTCGTTTTACATCTGATCGCGTGTCGTGGCTGATGTTGTTGGCATCCATTGAGAACTAAACAAGAGCGAATTAAAGTCCCTCCCAGCCGGAGTGATGGGCACAAAATTGAGCCAATCTTCTTCTCCACTGTCATCTGTGACTCGCATATGAAGACATAAACAAGACTGTCATTTTGTACGTTCATATGACACATTAAATGTCATATATAAGTAATCGAAATAGAAGCATAGCGATGTGTAATTACAAACGACCAATAATAATTACACTTTCTGAAGAAAGTTTTTTTCAGTGCAACATTCATGACCATTGTCCTGGATTTTTGGGTATGCTGGCATTAGTCCACCCACCCTCACGCCTAGTTCTGAGATATGACAGGGGCCCCAAGGGCCGACAAAGGGCCCCAGTATTAAAAAGAGCCCACCCTCTTGTCTTCACAATATGGTGGTACTGAGATATTGGAGGGGCCCCTAAACTGCCCCAAGTAAAAAAGAGTCCACCCAGCATGTCTCTACAATATCCTCATCCCGAGGGGCCCCTAAGGGCCTCAATACACAATACCGCAGCCCAGTGCCCCTGTGACGTTGTGGTGCCAAGATAAGGTCTACAGGGGGTTGACTGGTTGCCGCAGCACTCATTTCTTTGTTTTTCAATTATTATTCAAGCATTTTTTTAGCCTTTGAAGATATGAAAATATGATAGTTGTATTGATATTTCATGATTTGTACAGTACCTTGAGTAAATCTTGTTTTAAATGTGATAAATAAAGGTCTTAGTGCACACTTAAAATCAAGTAAAGAATGACTATTATTCAGGAATAACACTTGGCTTGTAGATGGGAAATCTTTATTACATTTCATATTATAATATATATTAATCATATTTAAGCATATATATATACAGTTATATATATTATTATTATTACTACTAATATACTGTATATGTACTTTAATATAGGCTACTGTAATACTGTAAAATATACATAAAACTGTTTATGTTGTAAAAAAAAATAAATCCTATAGACTATTTTAGAAAACAACATGAGGGAAAAACTGATTTTTTTAAACATGACAATACTGCCCTCTTCTGGCACATAAACCATAACGTGCCTTTGATCTTTAGTAATGTGTAATTTAAAAACATGCATATATACAATGTTCTCTTTGAAGGAATGAAATATGTAATCATCTTCATAATGAATGAGTGTTATAATAAATCCAAAATCATTTAATAAAGCACTTATTATTTAAATTGTCTCTCAGTTAAAAACAATATTCCTAAAATGAGATGAGGTCTGTGATGAGGTCTATTACAGTACATTTGTCTGAAATATCTTGACAGGTGTTTTCTTTCTTTGTCTTTCTCAATGTCCTCCTATATTGTGTCTCTCAGAAGAAATAAGACTGTTCATATGCAGAGATATTTTCCACATGCACAGGGTTGTAGTTGTATATGAGCACGCTGCTCTCTTCTGCTGCTTCACTGAAGTGGTGGGAGCTTCTCCTTCCTGCAAACACACACATGCATTTGTTCATCCAAATTCATTCAAATAAGGAACAAGCAAACACATAAATAAGTAAAGTATGAGAATGCAATTACCCTCATTTACAAAGAATTCAGCCAGTAAGGACGACACGCGCACAGCATTACTGGAATGAGGAAAGTTGTAAAGAGGGTCCCACTGAAAGCGGTTCACTTCTGGATGCCACTGTACCCCATAGAAAGGGTGCTTCCTGCCTGCAGGCCAATAATATTTCATCCACACTGCTTGTATAGGGTTGTTTTAAATGTGAAAAGTCTCTGGTTTTGTTACCTTCCACGGTAGAAACAAACTCAAGGCCATTTTGTGCTATGTTTGTGGAGAGCACTGAAAATAAGCCACTTAATTTCTCATTTCCCATGAATGCCTGACAAAGAGGAAGAGTTTATAGACCTTAATCAGGTTAAGCATCATATTGAATTTAACACGGAAGAAAACAAGTCTGTGAGGGATAGACTTAGTGTCTTTACAGTGGCGCGTACTGTATAAAGGTCCTAGAACACATCAGTAATTAAATGAATATTGTGTGTTTATAAAAGATGTACCGCTTTGGTCACTCCATAATGGTGGAAATTTACAGTAAGCGGTTCCTGGGACAATGCTTTACGGACGTCAGATGGGAAGTTGGTAAACATACGACTGGACGAAGCCTCTGTTAATGGAAACAAATGTGCAAATGGACATTAGACACATTATGTATATATACCGTTCAAAAGTTTGGGGTTGGTAATATGTTTTAATTCTCTTAAAAGATGGCTCTTAAGTTCAACAAGGCTGTATTTCTTTGATCAAAAATACAGAAAAAAACAGTAATACTGTGAAATTTTATTACAATTTTAAATAATGATTTTCTATTTGAATATATATTAAAATATAATTTATTCCTGTGATGCAAAGCTGAATTTTCAGTATCATTACTCCAGTCTTCACATGATCCTTCAGAAATCAGTCTAATATGCTGATTTATCATCAGTTTTGAAAACATTTGTGCAGCTTAGTATTTTTTTGGGACCCATGATACTTTTTCAGGATTCTTCAATGTATAAAAAGTTAAAAAGAACAGCATTTATTCAAATTAGAAATCTTTTTTAACCATATAAGTCTTTACTATCCCTACATTCTTGCTGAATAACAGTATTAGAAAAGAAAAAAGATAAAATTACTGACCTCAAACTTTTGAATGGTAATGTATATTTTTCTTAGTTTGAAGTACGGTTACCACACCTCAAGACATCGATCAGATGATTATATTTAAAGGGATTCGTCCGGTTTTTGTACTTAAATCGCTATTGTGAGTAGGATTAATTATGACTGTGCACTGTGTAACCAATGAGTGACGTATACGTGCGAGAAATCACTTCCGGCGCTTGTGTAAACTACGCCAGAGCGTGTACACACCTCACGCACCGGAACATAGTGGTGTATTAGAGGTAAAAAATGATATAAATACTGTTCGGTTTCTGGCACAAACCGATCGTTTCGTGTCTTAGGACATCAATGTGTCGTCACTAGCCGCAGGGTTTAATTTAGATTTGTCTGTGCATTTTTTTTTTACTCATAGATTTTGTTACCATTGCCATGCATTATACGACTGATAGACTGCAACGGCTGGACTTAAAAAATAATAATTTGTGTTCTACTGAAGAAACAAAGTCACCTACATCTTGGATGCCCTGGGGGTAAGCAGATAAACATCAAATTTTCATTTTTGGGTGAACTATCCCTTTAACTATGCGAAGTGATATGGAACTATAATGCCGTCAAGACAGCTGCCTGGAACTACATTCGCCGTGCGTTTCCCTGAAAATAATTGCACACCTCAGAACGTTCGTCAGCCAATCAGATTCAAGCATTCAACGGCCCCGTAGTATAACATTTTAATAATATACCTTTAACAATAAACATTTTTTCCACAATAAAATAACCTTTTATGGAATATAAAGATTACATGGATGTTAAAGTTTCTTCATGGAACCATTGATCCCAATAAAAAGAAAACAGAGTGTATCATCGGCAAAAATAAAAAAAAGTGGACCATGTTACTGATCTTGACTACGTACATTGGCTATAGCATCTATTTAGACTAAGTACCTGAGGTGAAGTTGAGTGGATAAGTGACATTCTCTGCAGTTGTCTTACTCAACAGGTTTTCTCCAGCCACCAGCACCGTGAGCAGCTGAAATCCCAGGCATGTTCCCCAGATGGGAAAGTAATCACCCTCATCATTCGCCTGAGACAGCACAAAAGCAACTCTTGATAAGACTATTGGTAACTTCTTGCAGTTTAGTTCCTAAAATAGTTACAGTAATGGCACATGATAAAGTCTAACTGTTCCCATAAACAATGTTGATGATAAAAAAAACATCATTTTATTAACAATTCATTATTCAGGAGACACAAGGAGCATCTTAAATTCACTGTAATTCCCTTACCTTCAGGGCCAGTCTGAAGTAAATCACAGCGGTGTGAGCGAAGTCAGATGTCTCCAGATCCACAGCGCCTCCGATGAGAAGAAGACTGATTGAGAGACAGAAATGATCTTTGTACGTGGAAATATTATTGTATTAATGTGAATCACAGCTTTTGTTTCTGTAAGTTTCATTCAAACATGATGTTTAGGCGTTATTCCTGTATGTAGGGTGTAAAATCAGGTTTGCACAGAAAAATATGTCTATTATTAGCCTATAAACTGGCAGAACAGATCAAATCTAGGTTACTGCAATCATCTCCAATGCTGACAGTACATTACATAATGGCCAACAACATGTATCTAACAGCTTAAATAATGAAAAGATAATGATCGTGTATGAATACATCAGGTATAAGGTCATCCTGGAAATCTGGGCGTGATGGACTTGTTCAGGTAATGTCAACACCACATAACAGAGTTTTGAAAGAAAGATGGAGAACATACCCATTTATTGACCTGAAGATTTGTTCATGCTCTGCCAAACTCTGGTTTAGCCTGTAACATAGAATGTGTTCATTAGTATGATTGTTGAAATAACACATTTTGAATATGGATTTGCTGATTAATTATTTTCTACCTTGTGTGATTCTCTTAAATGTATGGTTGTTGTTGTTATTAATATGACTCTTCGGAATCAGTTCCCAGATAGCAAGAACTTTTGGGCCAAATGAATGACTCAGTCACACTAATTGGCATATTCATGTTTGTAAATCACTGGATTGACTTTGGAAATAAAACTTTGTACATTAATTTTAAAGAAAAAAAGAAGTATTATGACATAATATCCATAAGTCCTACTTAAGTGGGTCAACAAGCACTCTTAATAACTAGCTAATGTTCAACTAACTGTATTTAGCCTAATATAAATGTAAAATATAAGACAATAAGTAACATGAAGTGCCCTAAAACATCACATTAAGTTCACACGTTAAGTATATTCTGTTAAAATAGCCTACATTATTTCTGTAGAAGAGTGTACTTCTGTCACGACCACTATCGTCAAAGATGATTGACAATTAGCATACAGTTTGGATTGGCGGTATGGTTCAGTTCTGGGCAAGAACTCCCTGCGCCTCCATGCAGCCTAGCATGGATGAGAGCAGGGACAGCAGCAATAACCCCCAGGGTAAACAGAACAGAACTAACATAAATGTATTGCAGATATTGTTAAAGTTCAATCATTTTATGTACACATTTAGAATTAGTCTGATTCAAAGGAGAATCAGAAGGCTGAATCCTGACTGACAGAGGAGGAGCTGGGGATGGAGGAGGATAATTAGCTATCGAGCAATGCGAAAACTGCTGATAATACTGAGGGACCTTATATATGAATGCTTAGATAGGTGTCGTATTCCCATAGGTAGATGGAGGTCAGCTGAAGGTCAGCTGATGCGAGCTTGACTAACGTGACCTGCCAGAACTAACGCTACGCTTGATTTCTTTTTAATGAAGAAATACTTTGGTGTAACTTGAATCGATTAATCGGTTTTTAAACACTAATCGGAATTACTTTAAATGCTAACAAACAGGCAAGACTTACCTAATTGGCACAACTCTAGCTCTCCCGGACTCAATGTACTTCACATATGAACTGACAGAGGAGGAGCTGGGGATGGAGGAGGATAATTAGCTATCGAGCAATGCGAAAACTGCTGATAATACTGAGGGACCTTATATATGAATGCTTAGATAGGTGTCGTATTCCCATAGGTAGATGGAGGTCAGCTGAAGGTCAGCTGATGCGAGCTTGACTAACGTGACCTGCCAGAACTAACGCTACGCTTGATTTCTTTTTCATGAAGAAATACTTTGGTGTAACTTGAATCGATTAATCGGTTTTTAAACACTAATCGGAATTACTTTTAATGCTAACAAACAGACAAGACTTACCTAACTGGCACAACTCTAGCTCTCCCGGACTCAATGTACTTCACATATGATGAAGGGATGTATGTCTTTCCAAACTTTTTCATTGACTCATTGTCAACCTCTTGCGTCAGAATCCCTATAGACAAAGTTATGCTTTAAAGGTTAGTCACACACTTATAGCGTGGGTTTGTTGTTATTATTTATGAACATGATAATTATTCTTATCATGCTCATAGTTCAAGTTAAAGTAGGTTTACCGATGATCGGTCTGTTGTGAGGCTCGTTTCTCTGCGGGAGTTTAAACGGAGCGGCGCTGCACAAAACTACAACGCCCGCGTACAGGAGCGCACTGAAGCCCATTCTGTCCACACACACACCGGTCCACAGAAAACCAGCTGACACTGAGTGCTCCTTCACTTATACTGTACATGTTTCATATAGTATCTGAACTGAAAGTTATGAGGGAAGTCATTAGATGGGCGGGGTTTGTACTTTCTGGAGGAAGGAAAACAGGTTTACATCAGTAGCTAATACCGCTCATGCCAGTTTGTTTGGGAAAATACTGAGTTGTTGGGAGAGTTGGCGAAAAACTGCAGCCGCATTCTCCACACACGAGACCAGAAGTTCATGAAGCTTTTAGGAACTTGCATTTTCCCAAACGTTCTCACAGCCAGTGTTTATCACGAAAAGCAATGTGAAATATAGGGACATCAGCAATCTTGACTAGGCTTCATATAAGTTTATAGTCCACAACTTGCATGTTTTGTGTAAACAGTTTTATTTGGAAAGCCACATAAAAGTAAGAAGTGTTTAATTATGAAAAAGAAGTACACTTTAACAAACTTTTAAAAGAGTATTTATTACGAAAATGATACATATGTGAACTGAATTTGGGCAGTTAGCCTGTTTTTGAATTTGCAATTAAATAAAAATGCATTGCAGTTTAAATATATAAATGCAATTAGTTGAACTCAAGTTCAGTTCAGTTAATGTAGGCTATATGGCTGAATCAGATAGCTGAAGGCAGAGAAAAAGAGTCACTGCAGTAGCTATAATAGGACTCCAGCAGGAAATCATTCAGAAACATGAAGCACTGGTAGGGAGTCATAAAATAAAATAATGAGCCGACTATTTATAGGACTCTTCATGAGTTGATTAGTTATTTACTGTACAGTCCCTCTGAAACACAGCAGCAGAAGTCAATAAATACATGATTGCACAGTGGGATTCTATGCAGTGCATTTTCATGACCCCATCGCATTTCTTAATATAGTCAATAAAATATCAAATTCACTATTTGTGAAAAATTACAGTTAGTGGCTCCCTGTAGTGCAAGAGCTGTGTTGAAAACACATGCAATTCTTATACAAATATACACTGATACAAAATCAATATTACAATTTAAATGTATTTTAAAATGTTATTTATTCCTGACGCAAAGTTTAATTTTTAGCTTCATTACTCCAGTCTTCAGTGTCACATGATCCTTCAGAAATCAATATACTGATTTGCTGCTCAAGAAACATTTCTTATTATTATCAGTGTTGAAAACAGTTGTGCTGCTTCATATTTTTGTGGAAACCGTGATAATTTTTTTCAGGATTCTTTGATGAACAGAAAGTTCAAAAGAGCAGTCATCTGCAATAAAGGGAAGATGGTTGTGAATGTCACATTTGCCATTACTTCTCATAGTGTCATTTCAGCATCTTGTTTTTAAAGCTTTTATAAAGCCAGTGTCATGTGGTACAGAAGTACGGTGTCACAGTGACATATAAGCCAAACTGAGCAACAGTCCCTTCATGAGGAGCATTTCTTTCTGATCATTCTTCAAATCGCAGTTTATGAAGTAGCAGCAGTTTTTATCATTTTATTTTAGTGGTTATAATCTAAGTAGGCTAGCTGATAATTCATTAATTCATTATGTATTAATTCGCCTTAACCCTATGAATGTTTTATAACTTAAATATAACACGTTTAGTAACACAATGAAGTCATGTGCGGATGTACAATGTAAAAAGTGGATATACATGATTTGACCTTTAAAAACCCAGGTTGATTCAGTCATATTAAATGAAAATAAAAAATACATAAATTTAAATGTTACCACATGAGGAATATTTTAGCTTATTTGACTTCTGTAGCTGAATGGCTGCGTCGTGTTGGAAGTTGCTGTGTGGGTTTGGAAGTGATAGTGGTTAAACGCGTAGAGGAAAGGATTGAGGCAGGCACTGACGAAAGTAAATGTTATCAACAAGCCCTAGCCGGCATCACACACTCTTTTAGTGCCTGTAAATCTGCTGCCGCAGCTATAGTATCAGTGCTGAACCATTAAACAGGTGCAGCGGCTTTCAGAATAAAGAAAAGACAACTTTACTGCAGCCAGCCACGTCATCCTCATGCTGCTGCTGCAAAGATGCTATGATGGGAAACATCAACTAGCTCTGCTTGAGAAAAACAACAATTTTGTCCAAAATGCTATTGCAATAATTATCACTCGTAACAAAAAGGCAGGTTTAAGTGTAAGTTAACAGAAGTCATGCATACATCACCAGAAAAAAGGTCACAAGTAATCTAAAAGTAATCAGAAAATACTCTGATTATATTACCTAAAATGTGTAATGTAATGGATTACATGGTAATGGTTTTTGTCCATTTAGCCACTCCATAATATCCAAAAAGCGATGACTGAATATTACTCAGAGAAACCGTGTCCTAAAATGCAATTAAATATAATTATGCTGAACTTTTTAGGATTACAAAAACAACCTCTAACGAAACTCACATCTGCAAGATGCCTGTCAGCACATTCCCACCACTAGGAAGCTGATTCAAAATAATAATAATAATAATAATTAAAAAAACAGGGAGGAGGAAAAAGGAGAAATTTCTAGCACATTTATTAACTTAATGTTTAACTCAAACTCAGATTTTTACAATAAATTTGTTATTGTAACCCACAATATTCACATGTGTAATAGTGTCTCATCTTGAAAAGACCGCATAAATTCTTCAAATAAATTTCCTTGAGCATACAGTATAAATAAATTTCATTCATTCGCTCCAAGTTCTCCATCTGTGACAGTACATGGGAACATTTCCTCACAAATTGATTTACAGCATTTAAGTGAATTATTGGCGATTCTAGCAGCCGCTCCTCAAGCTCTGTTTTCCAGAAGAGCCTGGAAGTCAGGTGAACAAACCAACTTGTGTTTAATGTGTCCCAGCACAGACATGTCTCCCCTCTTGCCCTCTGTATTAACTGAGACCAGTTCCTACAAAAACACAGAAAGAATAACAGAAAAAGACAATGTTATACAAACCTAAGAGCAAGTAATAAGACATATCCAGGGTTATGTTACCCAGTATAAGCTGGATCCTCTGCAGTGAATGGGTGCCGTCAGAATGAGGGTCCAAACAGCTGATAAAAACATCATAATAATCCACAAGTAATCCACACCACTCCAGTCTATCAACTAACATCTTGTGAAGCGAAATGCTGTGTGTTTGTGAGAAACAAATCCATTTAGGTGTTTTAACTTTAAAAAGTTGCTTCTGGCCAAAATACGAGTCCATAATCCATAATAACGCTTCCTCCAGTGAAAAATCCATCCCCAGTTGTCCTCTCACACCAAAATCCACCAACTTATAGAGCTGTTTTGGATTGTGTTCACTTATAATTGGTGTTTGATCTGTGCATATTTCTCTCCTGATTCAGACAAGATTACTTTTTCATTGGAGAAAGCAATATAATGCATAGAGGACTCGTATTTTAGCTGGAAGCAACAGTTTGACGTTTAAAAATGTGTTGAAGAATTTGTTTCTTATAAACACGCATCTTTTCGATGGATGGACTGGAGTATTGTGGATTATTGTGATGTTTTTATCAGCTGTTTGGACTCTCGTTCTGACGGCACCCATTCACTGCAGAGCATCCATTGGTCAACAAGTGCTCTGATGTTAAATTTCTCCAAATCTGTTCCCATAAACAAACAAACTCATCTACATCTTGGATGGTCTGAGGGTGACATACTGCATTGATGAGCGTAACTGACCTGCAGGAAGGCGCAGGAGGTTCCCAGGGCCACATCCAGGGTTATGTTACCCAGTATAAGCTGAACTTTGCCTGACTTCCTCACGAGCATTTTTCCCACCAAACCCTCCTGTAGATCTTTAAGACAACAGGTGTTCTCATCTTGAGATTCATCCTGACAAACAAACACACACGAGAACAAAAAATGCATGAGTATATGTGAAAACTAAGATGAATCTGTGATCTAAACCTAGCCAGCGCCAACCTGCGTCTCAGTCTTCTGCATCATGGCCTGTCCGTCGCTCGACTGCACCTCTGTTTTGGTGGGCCGGACGTCACTGGTGGGCGGCTGGCCTGGCAGACAGTCAGGAAGCTGCATGAAGAGAAGCTCCTCCTCTTTGCAGTGATTCCACACCTCCAGTAAATCAGGCAGCAAATCAGGTTTGGGCAAGGGTGGCGGCCTGAACATAGGCTCCGCCTTCTTCGGTTCAGGAATATCCAAAGGCTCCTGCTTGACTGAAGGAAGACAGGATTAAATCAAGGTGTAATGAAAGCTCACTAAATATCTTCTTTGTGTCTAAATGTGTGGTCACATTAGCACATTTTTGGCAATTTTTTATATTACCAACTTCAACACCGGGAAATTTTGAGTATGTTTGGCCAGCGAAATTTCTAGGGTTGCGCCCTAATAGTCGACTAACCGTTAGTCGACCAGAAGAGGCTTGGTCGACCAAAATTGTATTAGTCGCAGAAAAAAAAATTCCACAGGCGAAGTTGCGCAGTCCGTGACGGACAGATCGTTAACGGCTGGTGTATGGTAATACTGTAACACAGTACATCGGGCAGGACATCCAAACGCTCGACTATCATTCATCGACCTCAAATATGGCCTATCATCTGAAATATGTAAGTATTAGCAACTTTACATGGCTGCTCAATCTAATGTTGACCTAGAGAAATGTGCACTATTGTGTCTGTGTGGAGTGTGAAGCTGAACAGTAGCGCTCACTGCAGGACAGATGGAGGCGCCGGTGCGCTCACTTGCTCTTAAAATACTCCATTTCTGCTCATACAGATAAGAGTAATAGGCTACATCTTTCGAATCTGTAAAGGCTCAACGTTTATTTGTGTGCACTCACAATAACAACAAAACGCGCTTTTGTAAAATAATGAAAGCAAACAGGATGCGCTTTCTGCCGTCTCGGTCTCTGTGAACTTGAGCGCGAAACTCAGTGTATATCTTTGCCTTACAGACATTAAAAATATATCTATAGAGAGTGAAATGTCTACTTTCAAATGAACCAATTCAAATAGAAGACAAATATTCTCA